TAACCAAGTCCCCACAATGTGAGTGTGTTAACAGGTTTCGGTCCCCTTGTAAGTAATACAAAGGCACACACACACACACATACATAAAATGCCGTATGTTGTGCTACAACGTTATTCACTGTGTCTCAATCCTTTTGATAAATAGAATAAGCAACATTACTGATTTGTTAATGTAATTCTCCATATACCAGAAGTTATTTTCCCAAAAAGTTCAGAATTCCCTGGTATACCCCGCCCTCAAACTACAAGGCAATGCTGTCACAGTTTGGGAGTAAAAGAGGATTCGGATCCAAATGGAAGACAGAAGAGGTATAGTGAGATAAAGGCACACATGAACATAACACAGCAGCAATCAAACCAACAGAAACCCCCTCTTAGTTGAGGGCAGTGATTCCTAACTGAGGTCAAAGAAAAAATGTAGCAAAGATACCGTATGCATGAGTATCAACACTAGGCGATATTAGGATTAAAGGAAAACTGTGACACCACCAGACATCAGCAGAAACATGACCATCAGCAGGCTTGGGTCAAAGCATTAACATGAGCTTGGGAAACAAATAAAGCTATCAAGTGCTGAATATGAACAGACCAAACACAGAACAAATTTACATTACAACTGAACTGCTTAGCCTAGCTAATATGCCACCTATAATGTAGATATATTCTGGATATTTGTGGTCTGAAAATGCCTATACGGTCATCACTCAGGCTACAGCAGTGATGAACTGCATAGAAATTGTTCTCAGAAATCATTAAAATACCAGCACAGAGAATGACAGTCCACATTTTTAAAATATGAAAACTGAAAAACACAAGGTCATTTTTTTTTGTTAAAACAGAAAAATATCTGGCCAGGTTTGCCTTGTTTTTAGATTAAATGAAATAATGGAACAAATGGATTATATGCAAATCATGTACACAATTTAAAAGATTAAAATGTTTAAGAAGGAAGTGCATTCAACACATTAGTCAGGCGTCAAAGACGCACTGTTAGTTTTCGCAGGTAACACTGAAACTAAGCAAAACCACACAGAACTTTATGACAGCTCTCAGGCAGCATACTTAAACTCAATAACACTTTGCCATTACTGCAGCACGAGTGTTTAATTTTTCATTAGCTTTTATTTGTTATTGCTCTTTAGTGCTGATATAATTGTGCCAGAACACCTGAACTTAGTCTCGTCAGTCCGTCACATCAGTTTTTAATTTCACACTGATGACAAACTGCCAAATATCAAATACACCAATTCAGACTGTGAGTGAAAAGTGACATCTCCACCTGTGTGAACAGTGTTATGCTGAAACATAAAGCTTTGTGTTGAAACTGCTTTGTTGAAATTGGAAAACATTCAAACAAAAAGAGGAATCTGTGTGAACTAAACCAGTCACAGCAGTTCCAGTTCAGTTTCTCCATTATAAAAGGACACTGGGCAACAGCTGGGGAAACAGTTTGTTCAGCAACGTGTCCATCATGAAGAGTCTGGTGTTTCTGCTCTTGGTGACTGTGGCCAGCGCTAGAGTCTACGAACGCTGTGAATGAGCCAGAATTTTGAAGAACAATGGGATGGCCGGTTACCGTGGCGTCAGCCTGGCCGACTGCGAGTACCAACATCAGGTTGCCTGGAGCACAGAATTTAACAAATTTACATGTTTTAACAGCAATACAGTATAACATCTGTCTTAAACGCCAAAACTAGCTCATTCACAACATCTGGTATATATCACAATAAAATATTTTTCAAACCACGCCATACCAAATGATTTATTTTAGAAATTTCAGTGGATTTGTTCCACCTTTAATCAGAATTTGACTCCGGTACATCGGCTCTCAATTTGCACGTATATATCCCCATGCAAGGGGCACGTAAACAGTAAACCATCATAAGGCTGTGTAATATAACAAAGTAAGCAGTATTAACAAGCAACAAACAGTGCAAACAGTGCAAAATAAGCAGTATAAACAGGCAGTAAACAATGCAAGACAACAAATAAATAGGAATAAAAATAGAGTATTTAAAAACAGAGATCTGTACAATCTGTACAATGTATATATACACAGGTATTGCACTGAGGGTTATTGTCCAGTCATATTGTCTTTGTTTAAGTATTCATCAGGGAATTTGAGCAATTATGAGAGTGATATCAGAGTTTTAGTAGCTTGTTCCAGAGCTTTCTAATGCATCTCAGTGTAGTCAGAAATGGTTCCTGTTACCATGTGGGGTTTGACATGTGATGCTAGCCTTTCACATGGTTTCCATGTGAGTGTGTTCTTTTCCTCTCTGCAGGGGTTTGCTTGACCAGGTGGGAGTCAAACTACAACACTGCAGTTACTAACCGCAACACTGATGAATCCACCGACTATGGCATCTTCCAGATGCCATAATGTTTGTTTAAACAAACATTATGAAAGAGTGGAATTTTGACTTCTCTCTTGTGCGTGATGGCAGTTCCACTAAAAGATAAGATAAGTTTTATTATGACAACCTCACTATCAATGCTACTTTATCAAAGTAGTAATGTTTAAAAGACCATAGTGGTACTGGTGTGCTTTAGCCCATGTACTGTAAATGCTGTAAACCTCATATACTTGGTGACCAGTTTCCAAATGATCACTATGAATATCAAAGGTGTCAAAGTGGCACTTTTTTTTAATGAAAAATCAATGTGGAAAATCTCTTTGCTGCAGAGAGCAAAAAACAATGGTGCGGGGTATTTGGCAACTCTAGAGTGCCTGTAGGTGCGATTGTGATTGAGAATGGATGTCTGCCTTCATTTGTCAGTTTTGTGATAGACTGCTTACCTGTCCTGACCTGACTGGCTCCACCCATCCTGTGACCCTTTCCAGGATTAGTGGTATAGCTAATAGATGGAAAATGGTGCTAGATCTTGGTATGATCTAGTTAAGGGATCTTTTAAGTTATTTCAGTTTATCCTCTGGAGATTCTGAATGTCTATTCAAGTTTATTATTATTCAATAACTGACATATTTCAGTGGATCAAGCAACTGACATTGTCATCCCTAAAAGTAAGCAAGCTCCAATTCAAGGAGCTGCAATATTAAAATGCTGCTATGGAGATTAAAGTTATGATCCCAAAACATAATCAAACACCATTTATGATGCTATTTTCAACAATAGACACTATTTGTATTTACATTCAGTAAGTGCCTCATAAAACTAGTTTTAATGTTACTGATGGACTATGCCACTCCTTTATTAGATTCAGATTACCTTCACACACACACAAATACACACATGCTGTGTTTTCATTCCTTGTGGGGACTTCATATTAACTTACATTCATTTTGCATAGACTTATCCTAAACTCAACCATAACCATTACTTGCCTAACCCTAACCCTGACCCTAACACCTAACCATTTCCTTACCCCATGTTGCCACCCTAAAATTCAGTGATTTCCTTGTGGGGACCAGAGGATAACCAAGTCCCCACAATGTGAGTGTGACTGTTAAATGACTGATAAAATTTCAACCCTAGCAATAGAGCCATCAGGAGCAGAAATGCTGTATGTTGTGCTACAACGTTATTCACTGTGTCTCAATCCTTTTGATAAATAGAATAAGCAACATTACTGATTTGTTAATGTAATTCTCCATATACCAGAAGTTATTTTCCCAAAAAGTTCAGAATTCCCTGGTATACCCCGCCCTCAAACTACAAGGCAATGCTGTCACAGTTTGGGAGTAAAAGAGGATTCAGATCCAAATGGAAGACAGAAGAGGTATAGTGAGATAAAGGCACACAAGAACATAACACAGCAGCAATCAAACCAACAGAAACCCACTCTAACATTAGAAAACAAGGGATAACATAATCAAGTCTAGAACAGTGAAGCACTAAGCAAGAAATAACAAAGATATGCTCTTAGTTGAGGGCAGTGATTCCTAACTGAGGTCAAAGAAAAAATGTAGCAAAGATACCGTATGCATGAGTATCAACACTAGGCGACATTAGCATCAAAGGAAAACTGTGACACCACCAGACATCAGCAGAAACATGACCATCAGCAGGCTTGGGTCAAAGCATTAACATGAGCTGACTTGGGAAACAAATAAAGCTATCAAGTGCTGAATATGAACAGACCAAACACTGAACAAATTTACATTACAACTGAACTGCTTAGCCTAGCTAATATGCCACCTATAATGTAGATATATTCTGGATATTTGTGGTCTGAACATGCCTATACCGTCATCACTCAGGCTACAGCAGTGATTAACTCCATAGAAATTGTTTTCAGAAATCATTAAAATACCAGCACAGAGAATGAAAGTCCACATTTTTAAAATATGAAAACTGAAAAACACAAGGTCATTTTCTTTTGTTAAAACAGAAAAATATCTGGCCAGGTTTGCCTTGTTTTTAGATTAAATGAAATAATGGAACAAATGGATTATATGCAAATCATGTACACAATTTAAAAGATTAAAATGTTTAAGAAGGAAGTGCATTCAACACATTAGTCAGGCGTCAAAGACGCACTGTTAGTTTTCGCAGGTAACACTGAAACTAAGCAAAACCACACAGAACTTTATGACAGCTCTCAGGCAGCATACTTAAACCCAATAACACTTTGCCATTACTGCAGCACGAATGTTTAATTTTTCATTAGCTTTTATTTGTTAATGCTCTTTAGTGCTGATATAATTGTGCCAGAACACCTGAACTTAGCCTCGTCAGTCCTACACATCAGTTTTTAATTTCACACTGATAACAATCAGCCTGATAACAAACTGCCAAAGTTCAAATACACCAATTCAGACTGTGAGTGAAAGGTGACATCTCCACCTGTGTGAACAGTGTTATGCTGAAACATAAAGCTTTGTGTTGAAACTGCTTTGTTGAAATTGGAAGACATTCAAACAAAAAGAGGAATTCGTGTGAACTAAACCAGTCACAGCAGTTCCAGTTCAGTTTCTCCATTATAAAAGGACACTGAGCAACAGCTGGGGAAACAGTTTGTTCAGCAACGTGTCCATCATGAAGAGTCTGGTGTTTCTGCTCTTGGTGACTGTGGCCAGCGCTAGAGTCTACCAGCGCTGTGAATGGGCTAGAATTTTGAAGAACAATGGGATGGCCGGTTACCGTGGC